TACAAACGATGACAGCGGCGTCGTTCAGGCAGAAGGAGGAGATCACGCGAGTCACCGACAAGATCGCCGCGCTGGGCGACTCGATAAGCGACACGCGCTCTCAAGTCGCAGCCAAGCAGGCGGCCATCTCGCAGGTGGAAACGGCGATGGATAACCTGGGGGAGGAACTGGCGGCGGTGGCTGCGGAGCCTGCGGATATCGAGAAGCAGCGGTTGGAGCGTGAACTGGAGGCCTGCCGCCAGGAGTACGACGAGGTGGACAGGCAGTACGAGGCTGCTGCTGCGGCGATATCACACGTGGAGAGCACGATAGCGGAGATTGACACGCAGCTCCGGGCGGCACGGAGCGACCTCGATGAGCAGAAGCGCGAGAACGCTGCGTTGGCCGTTTCCGGGGGTTGGACGAAGCGTGCCGAGGCGTTCCGCAACTCGCTCTACCGATACGACGTGCGCAAGGTGCTCGACGACATCGCCCGCATGCGTTTGGGCGGACTCTTCACGCACACGCCCATTGGGCCCATCGGGGAGTACCTGCTGGTGCGCCGCGACGTGCCGAGCCCGAAGGTGCTGGCGGTCGTGGAACACCACCTCCGCAACATGCTGCACACGTGGCTCGTCGCCACGGAGCAGGACCGGCGAGCGCTGGAAAGCGTGCTGGTGAAGCACGGCTGCAGCCGCAGCCACGCCAAGATCATGAAGAGCAACATCTTCTCGCGGCCGGACCTGGTGGAGCACACGCAGCGCCAACTGCCGGAGACGGCGCACCCCCAATCCATCTACCGCTGCCTCGCAGTGGAACACATCCCTCCGACTCTGCTCTACGTCCTCGCGGACGCATGCAACATCGGCCGCGCGGTCATCTGCAGCGACGATGAGGGGCTGCAAGAGTTGCTCAGCAAGGAAGATCACAAGGTCACAGTGGCCTACTCGATGACGCGCCTGAACAGCGGGCGGCGCGTGAACGGCTCGTTGCACCTGTCGCCGTGCTACGACAAGCACCCCTTCGCGTACGCGTACGTGCGCTACGCAGAGGAGAGCGAGGCCGACCGGTCGTCGGGGCAGGAGCAGCTCAAGGGCAGCTGCGCGGAGCGGGAGCGCTCCTTGATGCAGCTTATGTCGTCGCTCTCGAAGGAGCGGTCGGAGTGCACCGCGCGGCTGAACGAGCAGCGCCGCGAAATGGAAGCGATCCGCTCCGGCAAAACGGGTGTCCTCCGCAAGCGCACGCGCTTGGAAGCCGACCTGAAGGACGAGATCGACCACCTGGAGTCGACGAACCACAGCAGCCGCTACAAAAAGTGCTGCGAGGCGCTCGAGGAGATCCGGGCCGACTACCGTCGGCAGCTGGCGGCGCTGGAAGAGGAGCTGGCGCAGCTGGAGGCGACGGCCGCGTCGTTGGAGTCGGACAAGGCGGCCCAGGAGGAGGCGCTGAAGACCGCGAATGAGGACCTGAAGGCCGCTCTGAAGCGCATCTCCGGCCTCCGGGTCGACGTGCAGAAGATCCAGCAGCGCGTGCAAATCCAGAAGACGCAGATAAAGGCGCTGGAGAAGAACATGAAGGACTACCACTTCAAGCTCGACGGGTACGTGAGCGACTTGCAGGAGGCGGAGCGCCAGCTGCGCGTCCACGAGTCCGAGATGGACGCCGAGGGCATCGACTACTCGGTGGAGCTGCCGACCAAGCCACCGGACGACTACTTGCGGATCCTCAACCTGAGCAACGAGGTGCTGCAGCGGATCGTGGACGACTCTCGTGGCATCGAGGCGCACCTGACGTCGCTGCGGGAGCAGCAGGCCGCCGCGGAGCGGGCGCTGGAGGACAAGGAGCGTCGGCTGCGAGAGACGACTGCGAACTACCAGGTCCAGAAGAAGAACTACGTGAAGCGGTGTCGGCGCTTCGAGGAGTGTCGCGACCGCACGGAGCGCAAGGCGAAGCGCGCGTTTCGGCAGACGCTCGACGCCGTGACAGGCTACGACGGGAACCTGGTCTTCAACGACGTCAACCGCACGCTGGAGATCCAGATACACAACAAGCAGCAGTCGTACGCGCGCGCCCACGTGGCCACAGATTTGAAGGTGAGAGGCCTGTGTGTTGTATGCAGTGCGTGCCGACGTCGGCCTGGCGCGAGCCAGAAGGCGTCTAACGACGAGTTGCTACGTTTACCGCAAATCCCAGCTGCGCTGTGGTGTGTGGTGATTCGTATGTTTTGTGACCGCGCAAATCGGGGCCTCATCGTGTGTCGCAGACGCTCAGCGGCGGCGAACAGTCTGCCATTCAGCTCTCCATGCTGCAGAGCCTCGCCACCATATCGTTTTCGCCCATCCACATGTTCGACGAGGTGGACGTCTACATGGACGAGGCCACGCGGGTTAAAAAGTAGGCTTCGGCTCAAGTGCCCGCTCACCCAGCGCAGCATCGAGTCCCTTGTGCAGTTTGCCGCGAACCACCCGAGTCGGCAGTTCTTCCTGGTGACTCCCCACTCGGAGCTGGCGAAGCACATCAGTGGTGAGTGTCGGCCGGCTGCTCGACACGGCGCGCAGAGACGTACCCGGACATCAGCAAGCTCTTCAACGTGGCGCGAGACACATGATGCGGCGTGGGCGCCGTGCATTCCCAATGAACCTGGCTTGAAAAATATTGCTGTGAGTTTCGTGTGTTTTCGGGTTCTAATGGCTGCTGTGGCCACTTGGCTGTGAGTGTTAGGCGAGCGACGCAGCACCGTGTGTGTAGTTTCGTGAATACTTGGAATATGCTGGTGTGTACCCTGCTGCCCGATTGCGGCAAAGGTTGCAAATCAGTTTGCTGGTGACAAAGTGGATCCACTTGCTGCGTTGTCATTGCGGTCCTTCCGCAACAATCTGGACTCAAGCACCAGACGTAACGTGTCGTGTACGACCTGGAGCAGTGAGCCACTGCTTTATCTTCTGCAACGTAGACTGGTCGTGTCTCGGTATTTTTCGTTTTCCGTTTTTTGCACGCTCGCGGAAATTCGAAACCCCAAATCCTTTAGATCCGTTTTAGATCCTCCCGTGTACCTCCCGTGTTCCGTCCGTGATCAGCCCGCCAGGTGTGTTTCCACCTGGGCGTATGGAACACGGTTCCAGTTCCACCGTCTCACGCGGGTCTTCCGCTATCTCCCTTGCACTTAATCAATAAACGTGGCAACTCAATCCATAATAAAGCCACTCAACTTGTCGGTTGCTCCTTAGCAAGTTCATGGCGTGCCAGTTTCACTTGAAGCGGGGTAGCCGTAGCCCGACCCCTCGGGAAGTGGGTCCTGGTACGCGTCCCAAGGCCCAGTGACGGACGGCCTCATGGAGTCTTCGACGTTGGTGGGCATGGCAGCGGCGTTCCGGTCGTCGAAGGAGCAATGAGTCGTCGAGGTCATTGTCTGGCCCCGAGTGTGGGAGGAAGTGCTGGGGGTGACCGTCGATTGCATGTCCGCCGGGTAATGGTTAAAGTGCCTGCGGGGCATGGGAGTACGTTCCGAATGGTTTATCGCATTCTGCGCGTAAGCAGCCATGATCTGGTGACGGTTGTGTTGCGCTTGCAGTTCCTGCTGCGGCGTAGGCATGACGCGCTGGTACGGCATTGGTGGGATGGGCGCCGTGGCGTGGCTGAAGAGGTTTGGTTGCGCGTAAACATCGATGTTGTCCAGTGCGCCATGGCGGATGTTCTCCGGATACTGCCACTCTGGTGGCCGGCAGCCCACGAAGGCACCTGTGACGGCGTCGTACGCCGGGTACTCGTACGGTTGGGCCATCGCAAACTGCGGCGGCACCCGAGCCACATCGCTGGAGGCGGCCGCGCTTCTGCGGCGCATGATGTCGGCAGTGGCGAAGTTGATGACGCAGTTCGCAAACCTGTAGGCCAAAAGCGAGTAATGGTGCATGAAGTGGTGGCAGTTTCTCGTCCTGCTCAGCTTGATGAACTGCGCGGAATGGGAACCTTTAAAGTGAGGCTTACGTCCAGTATTTCAGAACCGCACTTCAGCTCTTGTATCACCGTCGGCTCGCCCATGGCTGACGCGGACGGCGCCGGGGAGTCGCAGAGGTAGTCCTCGCAGACCAACTGCATCTCCGTGGCCGACCGCAACCAAGTAGGCGAAAAGGTTCCGTCTGAGAAACGTTTCGAAATAAACAATGGAAACACACCATCCTTCATGAAGGTGTCCGCAAGGAGAAGCTTCAGCTGCCAGATAACGCCGACCAGCTCCATGACGGTAGGGATGGGCCGCCAGGCATCGGCATATTGCTCGAACCTAGTGATTCCTGAAGGATTATCCGGTGGAGGACCGACACAGGGTGTTTGGGGCCACTGCGCCATGGTTTCTCGAAAAAACGCGTCGATGAACGTATCTGCCGATCCACGGGGATGGGCACGGATGGCAGCGACAGGTACGTGCCAAGGTAGCCTGCGGTGTAACGAAAAAATCGTTAAAGCATGCAATACGTCGCGAACGTGGTGTAACTCGGCAGTTAAAACTCCGCCAGTCACTTTTTTGCCTGTAGAACTCAGAGGCCTGGAGTGCCACGAGAGCCGAGTGGCAGTTTTTCCGGTGGATTCCGTGCAGAGACGTCGCAGTCACACACGAATGAGACGTTTTCAATGGATACCTTCGACAAATTATAAATTTCTGCAAAAGGGACACACCTGAACGGCACCGCACGCCTGGGTGGAGCAGATGTGCTTGATGCTTGCTTTGTGAGCCGTCAAGAACTCACAAAACCGTAGAAATGCTTTGAAATTTTTATATCGTTTGCTTTTTAGGGTCTTTTTCATTAAACTAGGAGTGTTGGACGGGCGGGCGGCCTCGTCCCAAAGTTTATGTGGATGCTGCTGCAGTGAGGAAAATGCCGACAGCCTACGCGCATGTCGAAAAAAAAATTTGAGATGGAGGTTTTGTTGGCCAACTTGGCAATCACATTGTTTAAATTTTAAATATATGTGGTTTGGCCGGTTTTTATTGCGAAAAACAAAAAAAAAAAAATTTTTTTAAAAAGCTCCAGAGCGGGGAATCGAACCCCGGTCACCCGCGTGACAGGCGGGGATACTAACCGCTATACTACTCCGGATCAATAATGACAACAAAACCCATTTTCAAGTCCTTGAAAAGCATTGAAATGGCGCTGTCGCCTGTGTTGCCCTGAGGACGGTCATCCACCCGGGGTCGTCCCCGGCGGTCCCGGCAGCTTCCTCCGTCCCTTCGTGTACACGCTGCATAGGGAGTTTATCGGGAATTGTTAACGCAGCGTACCGGGTATCTACGGGATCAAAACCTTGCTCAGCGGAGCCGAATAACGCCCAGTCAGGGGTCTCCACCGAGTACTCGAGACCGTGGAACTCCCTGCCACTGGTCGCCTACAGATCAGATTGAATGTGGTTAACAGCAGTAATACCAGCTCATGGAACTTGTCGTAGTCGATCCAAGTGTGCCATTTGCCGGCGACACGGAAACTGCAAGAAAGTGATAGCCGGCGAAGGTGACACTCACCTTTTCTTGGCGACAAGGACGCAGCATGAGTGCCGATGCTCGCAGGCAATGTCGTAGTGCTCCCGAGTAAACGGAGAAGCATCCACAAGCGCTTGAGCGAAGCGGACCACCTGCGCAGTGCGGTGACTGGGACGGCAGGAGAGCCTACCTCGTCGTGCCAGGGCACGTTCTCCATCGTTATGGCATTGTCGTGGACAGTCCCGCAGAAGGTCACGGCTTTGATCTCCACAAAGTCGGGCTCGCCAAGCTCCATCAGACGCCCGTAGTCGCCAATCTCATCCCGCTGCTCCTGCAGACAGTCAAAAGCGACATGTAGTGTAACCGACAGAAATGTTGAAGTGCTTCACCAGGGTGAGCCTGAAAACGGTGCGTTCCTTGCGATTCTTCAGCAGCTGAATGCAGCGCTGGAACCGAACCCAGAAGTCGCGGAAGAGCGGCCGATCTGCGTGCCATGCGTGAGGAGGGCGATGGGAACCTCACCAATCCGCTTAAGGCTCGCCTCGTCGGCCGCGTCGATCGACACGTAGAGCTGCGTGACCTGTCGCAGGTGCTCCATCTCCTTGGGGAACTGGGCGTTGGTCACGAGAAAGGAGGAGATGTTCCGTTTGTGAAGTTCAAGGAGGAGGTCGTTGATTTGAGGGTACATGATAGGCTCTCCGACCAGCGATAACGCGCAGTGGCGCACTTGCATAGCTTCACCGAGACGCTCACTCTTGGTGTCGAATATGCCTGCGAAGCAGTAAAGTGGGTGGCCTGGGTGGTGGACCCACCTCTGAGTTCCTTGATGAGCCGAAGGTGGGCTTTGACAGATTCTTGAGCGAGGAACTCCGGATCGTCCATGGGCCATTTCCAGCGCGTGGCGACGGGGTTGGTGTGGTGCCTCCAGCAGAACACGCACTTGTTCGCGCAGGCCAGGCTGGGAGTCATCTCCATGCATTGGTTAGACCTAATGCCGTAGAAGGTGTGCTTGTAGCAGCCACCGTGGCCACGAACGCGCGCTTTAGTCCAGCGGCAAAGCTTTACGGCGCTGTGGTCGCCGATGAGCTTGTAACCCTGTTTAGTGAGCGACTGACGTTGGGTCTCGGTGACCATGCGCCCGTCTCCAGCTCCGAAGTTCTCGATATCTTCCCCCTCAGCGCAACCCACCCCGTTCACATTCGCATCAACAACATCTTCGTCCGTCGTGTAATCGTCGTCATTGCCGGCGAAGGCTGGTGCAGTTGCATAGCTCGAATCAACACACTGGCAGGCGCCCTCATTTTTAAAGGAGCCGGGTTCGACAGCGCAACAGCCTTTTGCAGTGAAATTCGAACTGGTTGCTAGGGGGTCATCGTTGACACTGCAGCATTTCGTCTCCGAGATTGCTGGTGCATACGTTGGCGCTTTGCGTCGACCTGAGAAGGGTGTTGCAGATGCGCTTGCAGCCGCCAGGTCCTTATTCCGTCGATCCTGCCGTGAACTCGCTGTGTTTGAGCTCGATTCGTAGTCCTGGTGAGTTCTGGAGGTTCGGCTTTGTGTTGAAGCAGCGACGATGCCGTCCCAGGCTTCGTGGACGAGGTTAGTAAAGGTCACGATTTGGCCAATGTCGCTCGTACCAAAGCACAGCGGCTCATCGAGAAGCACCCGCGCGCCCAACGCTTTAAATGCCTCGCCAATTGCGAACAGAGCGGCGTCCACTTCCTTACTCGGGTGGCGGGGCGAAGCAGCGCGTGGTGCCTCACTGCTGCAAGCGACGAAGGCGCAGCTTAGTCCGCTCAATAACGTCTTGCTTATTCTGAAATCCTGCGACCATTCTTGCAACACCGCCAAGAGGGTTTCGAGAGCACAAGTGCGAGAGTGGCTGTCGACCACGAGCACCAAAGTGGAGGGAGAGGGTTGGTGTTGGCCATCAACGGCTGACTTTCCGAGCCTGACTAACTCGCAGGAGATGTCGCTTTCCGCTTCGGGGTTTGGTTGAGTGCTTTCGTTGGTGGCAGAGTGCCCATGGAGGTCCAGTAACGCTCCCAGCGTGACCGACCTGCACTGCACGTCGAGATTCTCAAACTCGACGCAGAGGGTGGAAGACAGTTCAAAGCACGCCCCGCCGTGTTCACCCTCGGTGTCGTGTGCGAACACGACCGAATGAGGGGCCTGTTTGATCATTTGCGCGGTTTTCAGGACTTTTGATGTTGTATGGAATCGGTCAAGGCCCTCCGCAGATCGCCCGGTTCCTGGACAAAGCAGCGGGAATAGTAATGAAAAATGCAATCTACATTTCGCTCGTCATCTGCAAGGCCCTGTGGAGCCCTGTGGCGGCCGTCGCAGGCCTCGGAAGGAGCCTATTTCCTGATCGCCTCGGACAGCTCCGGTGTGTAGCGCCGCTCTTCCTTGGAGCGCCGCGCAGCGGCCGCGGCCGTTCCTGTGGCATTGCTGAAGCGCCTTTGGCTGCGATGTCAAGAAGTGGACGCTGGACTGGGCGGTTCCTCACCCGGGCGCTCAACCCAGAGCAGGCAGAGCTACACCCGGAGTCCTTGAGTGGAGTCGATCCCGCGATTGGCGAAGACCGTATTGATGAGCTCAGGCGCAAGGGCGTGATTGAGGGAGACAGCCGCACATGGCGCAACTGGCACGTAGTAACGCAGGGTAAGCGTTCGCTACGAATAGTCTATCAGGCACAGGACAGTGGGACGACGTCGGCGAGCAGTTGATGCCTAAGTCAGAGCCCAACCCTGCCATAACGGAGCCTTATGCTTTGAGAAAGCCGCTGAAATACTGGGGATTTATGCGCGGTGTGGTAAGCGAGTTTGTTATTTTGCCAGAGGCATGCAGGACACAAACATCACGTCGTACCCGATCGTCTGGGAGTTCTACAACGACACGTATGGAAAGGTCGACGTGGCGGAGGACGGCGGAAACAACCCGCTGTATACGCCCTGGATGTACCAGCCCACGTGGGTCATGGAGGAGGACCGCGGGGGGCTCGGGTACAACGACTGCCGCCTGTTCGGAGGGTGGATCGGGCTGGACCTCGATGCGCCGACGAAGGTGAAGACGGCGAGCGATCTGATTTCGATCCCCGACACGGGTACGCGTCGTTATCTGTTGTGCCAACGTCTGCAGGGCGGCTCTACCAGAAGTTCTACCTCGGACCCTATCCTATTACCATGGGCTGGACGATAGGGTCATTGCTGAAGGTGTTGGCGCTCTCGCGGAGCCCGGGACACGGTGTGGTCGCGGTGAAGGTCCACAACATGCGCGAGGACACAACAATCCCCGGAGTCACGGACGATCTGCTGAATATAGCCTTGAACCTGAACGAGGTGGGTTGTTGTTTTGGCGTGTGCGTACGCGCTGCAGGTTGCGCTGGAGACTTTGAAGCCAGGTGAGGAAGCGCGGGTGCGAACGCTGATCAAGGGCCCGGCTACCGTCTGCGCCGGCAGCCTACAGTGGCCGTCGTTCGTGAAGATAGCGTCTCCGGACACGTACATTGCGCGCGTTGAGGAGGGCGGCGAGTTGGACATCGAGGTCAAAATCGAGTGGGGCCGAGGGCTCTGGTTGGCCGACAGCACAGGTGCGTACTTCCTGGGGCGCCACGATGTGCTGCAGGGCTCTACCGCCAGGAGGAGGGGGCCGATGCCATCTGCATGAAGCGCCGGCGGGTGAAGGAGGTCGACGAGGAGGGCTTCCACCCGCTCACGACCTTCTTCAGCGGCTGTCGCATGGTGCGCCTGGCAGTGCACAAGCTGCTGGGACAGCGGTGGGACATCCTCTCCGACGCGTGTCCCGACCCGCGCGAGCAGCTCGTGGTAGAGGTGTGGACTGACCGGTCGACGACGCCCAAGGCGGCGCTCGAGTTCGGTCTGCGGGAGAGCCTGGCGTGGTTGCGCGAGCTCAGGCGCCAGCTGTCGCAGGACGCGGACTTCGACGGCGAGGACGAGCAGCTGAGGGACACCTGGGAGAAGATCGACAAGTACCAGTCGCTGGAACGTCGGCAGGCGATGATGGGCGGGCCGCCCGCCTTTAACCTGCACGAGACCGACGCCTTCCCGGGGCTGAAGGCCGCGGACTGTCAGTACGTCGGTTCGCCCGACGACGTGAAGCTGATGCCGCAAGCCCCGTACTCGCTCCCCAACTTTTCCCCACCGCCTCCGGCGCAGGACTCGCTGGAGTGGTTGGCGGAGGAGTTGCAGTCGGAGGAGTACGCGGACAAGTCGGCCATTACCGCCAAGAACTTCGAGCGCTTCCTGGCGCAGCCTGAGGACGCGGCGCGCGCCGTGGATTTGTCGGTGCTGCCGGTGTCGCCTGCTGTGGTGGTTGCGCTTCGAATGTGCGGGCTCAACAGCGTAGGCGATGTGGCGGGGCTGTCGGCGGAGGAGCTGGAGCGGTACCCCGAGGTCTCCGCCGAGGACGCGGGGCGCATTGTTGAGTTTGTGAAGGCCAACTTCAACCTGGAGAAGTAGCTGTCGTCTGATACTTCGAATTTTAATTTGTAAACGTAGCCGATACATGAATATGTGGGGTGGGGAGCTTTGGGCTCCTAACTCTGATTTCATTTTTATCTGTTTTCTACGATATCGTATAATATTTCGGTTTCGATCATAAT